GGCATTCCTTTGATTTATCATAAAAGATTTTGTCTTTTGCATTGAACTTGTAATTGCAGTTGTCCAGTCATAAATCCACGAGTGGAGAAGGCTTGAATGCTATGTTTATCAACCAAGCAAATGTTCATTGGTAGCTAAGAGTGACCTAACAGGATATTGAGTTTAAAACAGTATTCCCTGCTTTTTAATAGTCTCAGGGTTTCCTGTCATCTTTCCGTGATGGGGTTTGATTGCATGGGCGCTCTCATGACTAGCTGGTAGCGATGTTGGTTTTGTTGTATGCAAGCACGCATTTGTTTTCATGGTCTGCCACATGTGACTTGAAGTGTAGCTGTTTATGTATATAAAACACAGTAATTGGCAGTAGTTGTTCTTCTAAAGGAGTACTTGTAGGACACCATTTACTTGAAAAGAATTTTTTGTTTTCTAGTGTACAAGACGGAACTGGAAAAGGACATTATATCAGACACATCTGGTGACTTCCGCAAGCTAATGGTTGCCCTGGCCAAGGTAGGTCTGTTCATCTTTTTCCACTTTTCCTAATGTGCCTGCCCTTTGGTAGCTGACTGATGGCTGCCAGTAAAACAACTGGATTTCTGATTCACTTTTAAATTTCTTTGTGTTTTCACTGACTTTTGGGGAAAAAAATATTCAAATGTTGAAGGAAATGTCTTGGCAGAAATGTGGCATTCATAGCAGCAGCTTCATAATGGGGATGGAGCATACTGTTACTTGGCAAATTCAGATTAAAAAAAAAAATCAGAGTAAAGAATGTGCATCTATAGCAAACTGCTTACTGTCTGTTAAACCTCTTCTAAATACTGCTATACTTGTTTGAAGGGCAAAAGGTGTGAAGATACCTCTGTGATTGATTACGAGCTGATTGACCAGGATGCTAGGGTAAGTGCTGGTAATGACCATTAAATGCCTTAAGTTGATCAAACTTTTGGGGATATTGAAAGTAAAATTGCTATGGGAGTGAAAGCGTTTATGAAAGTAAATGTGTGTATTTCAGATTGTCTTGCACAGTGATGTTTGCATGCTATCAAGGTATCTACCACTTGCAGTCTTGATACCTTCAGTTACCAGTTTTCACGAGCTACTTATCCATGAGTACCTACACAGAAACTCTCTGGTATTTCCCTTAGACATACTGAGAAAGAGAGCCTTTAACAAAAGGAAACACATACATTGTGAAGACTGGTTGCAACCAAGTAGCTGTATAAAACTGAGAGAAGTATCACTGAACTTAGTGGCTGATAAAGTTTATTACATCTATATCTGTCTTACTACATGTGTGTTTCTTAAGAGCAGTTCTGCGCAAGTAAACAGAGCTAAATACACAGTAAAACCTGTAGACAGAAATAAATGCGAGGTCCATAGATCTTGTCCTTGCCTGCCCAGCCATGTGTCCTTTTGTGTTTCTCCCACTGACACAGTTCCAGTAGTATTTGCTTTCCAGTAAGGAAGTTGTATACATTTGCAATGGCTTCTTTTGTAACTCCTGATTTTCATGATTTTGCTTTTCGTTCTAACCCTAGGAGCTCTATGATGCTGGTGTGAAGAGAAAGGGAACTGATGTCCCCAAGTGGATCAACATTATGACTGAAAGAAGTGTCCCCCACCTGCAGAAAGGTACTATTCAACAGACAGATCTATTTTTTTTCTGTAAGAGAAAACCTTGCTGAAGTGGTAACTATTTTGTCCTAGATATGATTGAAATGCATGTGAAAAGCACTCATAAGGCATAGATCTCATAAATCTTAATTCATGTCCAAGCTGTTTAATTTTTTTTTTAGAGTTATTTCTGTGGATGTGCTAATCTCACAGTCTGACTCTGTGTAGAGCTCTTTTTTTACACAGGTGTAATAACACTCAATTATATGTCACATAGACTGTGAACAAAAATGTTACAAATCTAGAAAACATGGATGCAGGAGACCTTGAGAAGTCCTCTAGCTTTTCCCCCTGTCCTAGGGTAACGTAGCTATACCATGTGTTTAAGTATGACAGTAAAGACTCTCAAAAGCAGCTCTGGTACTGCTGCAAGAAGCACATGGGAAAGCCATTCGAAGGCTTTCCAGGGCCTAAATTGAAGTTGTTTCAAAAAATACTAGTAGAGGATTAAGATGGTATTTACCAGGTTATGGAGGCGTTCAGGGACAACGAAAAGGCCATAGCATGGGAACTTTACTGTCAGCTGACAAACTTGGGCTGTACTGGAGATAAAGTTCTCAGAAGGACTTGGACAGATATTTTTTAATCCTATGTCTCTACATTATGCTCTCTGTTTTTGATTTGGGTGGTTGCTTTTACCAGTTCTTGACCTGGTTTCGATTTCACCTGTTTTCTTTCTTGTGATAGTGTTTGACAGGTACAAGAGCTACAGCCCATATGATATGTTGGAGAGCATCAAGAAGGAGGTTAAGGGAGATTTGGAGAATGCCTTCCTTAATCTTGGTGAGTTACCCTAAAGTAAAGAGTGTCTTTAGATAGGACCTTTTCAGTGCTCTTGCAGTGTATCATGATAAGGATAGAGCCCAGCTTCTGCAGTGTTGCTGGATGAGAAAAAAACAAAAAGGTTGGAACTATAGCTGAACACATTAAGTATTCAATATACATATAGGCTGGAGAGAGAACAGTGCGTATGAGAGGAGAAGACGCGCAGTGGAGGATGCTAGAAGCTAATAAAAGAGCTGATTTGGCACTGCATTCTCTGAAATGGGGAGGCAGGGTGTAAGGCTGGAGCTGTGGCATGAGATGAAGATGACAAGGGTGCTGCCAAATTTAAGAGGAAAATCCATTCCAGAGTAAGGGTGAACTGAGAACTCTGTGATGCGGGTCCAGAGGAGGGCCACGAAGATGATCAGAGGGCTGGAGTACCTATGCTATGAGGACAGGCTGAGGGAGTTGGGGCTGTTCAGCCTGGAGAAGAGAAGGCTCCTGGGTGACCTTATAGCAGCCTTCCAGTACCTGAAGGGCCCACAGGAAGGATGGAGAGGGGCTTTTCACAAGGGTGTGTAGTGATAGGACAAGGGGGAATGGCTCTAAACTAAAAGAAGGCAGATTTAGATTAGATATTAGGAAGAAATTCTTCACTCTGAGGGTGGTGAAACACTGGCCCAGGTTGCCCAGAGAAGCTGTGGTTGCCCCCTGCCTGGCAGAGTTCAAAGCCAGGTTGGATGGGGCTTTGAGCACCCTGGGCTGGTGGAAGGTGTCCCTGCCCATGGCAGGGGGTTTGGAACCAGATGATCTTTAAGGTCCCTTCCAACCCAAACCATTCTGTGATTCTGTGCAAATGGAGAATAAAGAGCTCAGCCTTGAAAGGAAGGCTTCTCATGGATTAGCATACAATGAGTGTTTTCAGAAAAGAGGCTGCTTTATAGAAGTGGAAGAAGGAATTGTGGGGTGTGTGTGGAGGAGAGCTAGTATTCTGAAATGATACTAGCAATGGAGGGAAATACTTTCTCAGATTGTAAGCATTTGTGGTTTAATCACAAGCTTAACCAAACAACTTCTAAGTAACAACTCAGGTAAAAATAATTTCTGTGTCCCCTTTTGGAGAAGCTTTTGCTGAAAACCTTATTTTGACTACTTAACCTGTCTTTAAAAATGGCTCCAAGATTCTGTGTTCTGCTATTCCATATATGGGCAGGATGTTTAACTATTCTTACCTCTCTCTTCAGTCCAGTGCATTCAGAACAAGCAGCTGTATTTTGCGGACAGACTGTATGATTCCATGAAGGTGGGGAAGACTGTACTTCTCATATTTTTTGTTGCCACTGTTTCATCAAATTTTGATTCATTAGGTGCTTTTATTCATATGGTGTGTGACTGGCATGTGAATAAAGTAACAATGACTTAGTATTGTTCAGAGCATCCCTCAACAGTTACGAGCCTAGACCATCTATTCAGATGCATCTGGCATAGGAAAATATGGGCAAGGGTCTCAATGATCTGTATTAGATCAGTTGATTATGATTAGCAAAGTTAGACCCATCTTTTGCAGGTAACCAAGAGCTGATAGCAGAAAAAGCTGTTTACTGAAGTGCCAAAATAAGACACTATATTTGCCTCAAAACGTTTTCTCAAGAAAAGGGACGGAAGAGAAATGCCTGGTAACAGGCATTAGGCCGTACCAGGAAGACATTCTGGTGAGCCAGAACTGCTGCTTACAGGCTAAGTAGCTAGAGTTGTGGCTGGAAGTTGGTTAGACACTGCTGATGGGAAATGTATGTTCAAATTCCTGGATCATAACAATGGCCTTAGTTAGAAGACTTATTGTATCTTTTATTGCTTCATCTCAGTTGCCTGTAGTTTGCTGTCTTACCGTTAGCTATGGTGGCCTTTTATGCATTTCATTTACTACAGTTTGAAATGTGTATCTGACTGTAGGGCAAGGGAACTCGTGACAAGGTTCTGATCAGGATTATGGTCTCCCGCTGCGAGGCTGACATGCTGAAAATTAAGAGTGAATTCAAGAGGAAATACGGAAAGTCTCTGTATTATTTCATCCAGGTAAGTTTTTCAGCTTTCTTTTTATATCTCTTGTACAGACCTTTGCAGCAGTCTTCATGGGATTAATTGTACCATTAGAATGCATGGGAGGTGTTTTGGAGGCTGCAGTGAGAATAATATGTGATTATCCATGCACTATTGAAACGCCCTCCTCCCCCCTTAACTTTACAGTCCACAGCTGGTACAACTCCTGGCAGCAGCCACTTGATGGTATACGTAGGCTTTGTGCAACCAGCTGATGTGTTATGAAGGAAAATTCTGTTTACCTGTCCCTATCTTCAGACGAAAAGAAAAAACAGAATTGCTGTCTGATTGCTGAATGAAAATAGAGCATCTAAATTGCTGCTCGCTTTCATTATGGTGCCCAAGGAGTAGGTTTTTTAGCTAGAGTGATTTTTGTCCATTTCTGTGACTGGGCGGGAGCTATAGGTGCTAGGTTTTATTTAACTTGAGGGACAGGTAGGGAGCTTGCGCATCTGTTTAAAAACTAGTCTTCTGCCCACCCTCACAATAGCATATGATACATTCTTCCTTGTGTGGATGAAGTTGCGTCAAAAGCTTAAGCCAAAATCTTTTCCTGAAGATGTCAAGTTTAGATTGTAAGCAGATTTTCAAAATAGTGAACTTGACATATGATTTTTGCAGTGATCAGTGAAAAGGAGCAGAATCAAGTTCTTCAGCTTTCCTTTGTTGCGTTACTCTCTTTCGTACCAAAATTTCTCTCCCGTCTTGGCCTTGCATTTTTATTGCAAGAGTGATAAATAATTTCAATTCACACACAAGTAAAACTGGGGCTAGATAGTCTCCTCCTGGCTGACAAGGCTTCAACTGCAAAACATAGTGTGTCCCACGGGTTTAGAATATAATGCATACAGTTCCGTGTTTTGTGACCTCGTATGTATTTTGAATTTTTCTTCCCTTGCTTTGCAGCAAGACACAAAAGGGGATTACCAGAGGGCACTGCTGAACCTGTGTGGTGGTGAAGAATGAAAACTGTGATGGAAGAAACCCAAGTCCAGAGACAAGCCTGTTTTGCTCTTCATTTTACTGTAATCCTAGAAAAGATTGACTCGCCTAGCTAACCTTGACTTGCCTTTGTATCTGCCAGGCCACTGATGGTAGCGTGCTTTCCGGTGCTGCCTGCGCTCCTCCCAGCAGCAGTGCTCTGCTTGGCTCTGCCGTGGGTCCCAGCAGCATGCAGCCAGAGAAACGGGCCCGCCAAAGACACACATGCTGTTACCAGTGCTTGTGGAAGACTCTGCTTCTCTGTGCGATGTTTCTAATAAAACACAAATAAAACTGGAGTTTTACTTTAAGAAGACTGATCTCTTTCAGACCTGTGATTTGAAAACTGTGTGAACAATTGATACGCGTTTAGCCTTCGCCGTCCATTCTCTGTGCTGTTTTTTCCTCCCAGGGTTTGCTGCTTGTGGCTGAAACCTTTCTCCCTCCCTCGAAGCCCTCCGCCTGTTCACTGATTCAGCTTCTCGACAGAAGCAAAACCATTCTCTTGATATTTGTTCTTTCTCCTTTTTTTTTCCCCAAGTAAGCGACACTAAAACCTGAGCCCCGCCTTTCTCTGCTGGGCGGCGGGGGGCAGACAC